GGCATCGTCAGCTTTCTTCACTGACTTAATCCTTTTTATCTGATTTCCTATGTAAATAACTCCGTTCAATCAAAGTGCTATCTGGACGGTTAAGCTAAGCTCCCAGTGAATTTTGACTTGTATGTTGAAGTTACTGATGCTCCACTCTTTCTTTTCTTAGATCAATGGACAGTGTAGCTGTTTCCAGAGCATTGAGCTGCTAAAATCCCGCCCTGCTCACTTGGCTGTTTTTCTACATCATGTGGTTTCACAGTTTGACCCTGCAACACTGGTAATAATTCATGATTTCATCAACACGGAATTCTTATATTGATTCAAATTCATTAAACTCTTCATAGTAGCAGGATTAGCGACAAGGCTAGATGTCAAGGTGCTGAAAGCTTACTTATTTAGAGACTGGTTACAGGGTAATAAGTACATTGATTATGATAGCCTACCTAGTCCAAACAGTTCTTCCCTGTGAGGATGTCAGGTGTTGTTTCCTGTTATTTCTCAACTTCAGCTTTGGGTTGTTGTTGTTTTTCTTCTATCTCTACTACAGCTCTGTTATCTCTACTCTGACCTGTACAAGCAGACCAATTCCAAAGAGACTCGGCGAGTCTTCCTGGAGTTTCACCAGTTCTTCCTGGACCGATCTGCAGTAAGTTGTCAAGTTAATATTATAACCTGTACTTTCATCCATTGAATGATTGGCCTACCTCTAATCTTCCTCCCATGTGTTTGGACTATGTTGTGTTTTCTGACAGCTGTATTACATCTCAATTATTGATGATTCCTTTTACTTTTTTGATAAAGTTCTTTGATGAACCCAAGTATTTAAATGTTAAGAGGCTACAATAATCTGGTTTGTCCTCTGGTGCACCAGTGGTTGTTTTTGCTACCCCCTCCTTTAAAACAAAAAACCACAACAAACCCCAGTAACTCTCTCACAACACTCTATACTTTGTAAGCTACTGAGTTCAGTAATCGTTGCAGTGGCCACACAAGACTCACAGACATTGCTCACGATGATAGGGCTTATTTAGGAAGTTATCAGCCTAGAGTGCTGGTGAGAAAGGCTCAGAATAGGGATATTCAGTCAGGACATGCTACAACATTCTTTCAGGGTTGCTAATAAATGCCCAAAGGGCATACCGCTCCATTGTATGCCCCAGTCCAGAGGCATTCAGCTCAGACTCCCAAATTCAGTGCCCAGGGGCACCCAGCTCAAGCTCTGGGTCACTAAACCCAGATCCCCCAGCGAAGTGATCAGAGGCACCCCACTCCACGAGCTCTCGCACAGAGGCTTTACTTGTTCTGTGGGCTGGGAAGTCCTTTACTCTGCCTCATGTGCCGGCTCCTGTGTGCTGCTGCTCCTCCTCTGGGTGCCTCAGCTGTCAAAGCTGTTTTCTAGATCAGGGCTAGCAGAGCCATATTAACTAACTTGCTATCCTGCACCACTATATTCATTTACAGTTGTTGATTACATGACTTTTCCTTCCTAGTCCTTTCTAAATCAGTTGTGTGCAATCTCACGGATGGTGTATGCTGCGTGTATATTTGAATTTAGACATACGGTTAATTGGAATGAGGGTGTGAAAGATCACAGGTGATAGGCATTCGTAGATTAGGCTGCCAAGGATGAAACTTGCATAACTAAACTGGCCTCTGAAGTTTGGAGGCACAAATTTCACTAAAAGGATCTCACAGTGCAATAAATTATTAAACTCAAACCAAACTCAATTACCATGGAGTCAATGTCAACTCATATTGATTCTTTAGGACAAGGGAGACTGCCCCATGTGAATTTCTATACTGTAACTCTTTAGGGGAGTAGAAAGCCTGTCTTTTTAAGGAATGGCTGGTAATTTCACAGTGCTGACTCTGAGGTTAGCAGCCCTGCAAGTGACCACTGTGCCACCAGGTTTCCTGAAATAAACAATGTAGTGCTTTATTTTACCAATAGAAATTTTAATGTTTTTGACCTCTGACAAAGTTTAGCTGCTACTTTGTTATAGTGTAGTGATCAGCCCTCGATGTTTCTTGGACAATCATAATGCTTTTCCTTGCTGCTTCTCTGGGTGACTGTTTCATACAGCCCATCTCCTGAAAGGGAGGCCTGATGGATGGTATAGGGGTTCCTTGTTGGGCTGTTATACCCGCAAGGCCCACGGTTTGAAACCACTAGCTGCTCCTTGGGAGAAAGACGGTACTTTCTACTCCTGTAGAGAGGTACAAGTTCAGAAACCCACATGGGTAGTTCTCCCCTGTGCTATAGGTCCATTGTGAGTCAGAATTGACTTGACGGCAATGAGTTTGGCTTGTGTTTTGATCTGAAACTCCCATGACTTCCTCTGACCTCTCTCAGCTGTTCTTTCACTGAGGGGTGTACTGCTACCACTCACCTCCCCCAGCTCCGGGCCACGGTGTGCTCTTTTTAAAGTGCTCTGCCTCCACAATTGTAGCTCAGGCCGACGCTTCCCGCTTGCACTAGATTTTATTTCTTCCTGCTATCTCTAGAACTTCACTCCAACGATTATAGTTTACATTAACACACAAACATTGTTATTTCTCCTATCTTAAAATAAACACAAGTACATTTTGGGCTCCACTTACTCCTCCTAGTTCTGCCCCATTTTCTCTGTATATCTTTACAAAATCGCCCACACATGCACACTCAATAAGGCCTTTTCTGACCAACCACTCCAACTTTCACCACCTGTGCTTTGTGTCACCTGCTCTGCTTTGTCTCTGTTCAGAAGCACTCACATATTATTTATTTGGTTTTGTTTGTCTGTATTCCTGCCCTGCTGCCCCAAGTGTCAGTTCTCTTAGGTAATTTATTAGTTCCCTGCTGTGTTCTCAACATTGAATTACAGGTAGTGGACACATCATATTTGGTGACTAAATTATGGTTCCAATGTACTGCTGTTGTTTTAAATCGTCTGTTACTAATTTGCATCTATGAAAACGTGACAGTATCGTCAAGTATGTTTGAATTTCTCGAGAGCACTCCAAGCTCGCTGACTCATAGTGATCCTATAGGCCAGAGTAGGCCTGCTCCCTCGGGTTTCTCAGAGAGTAAATCTTTATCAGAGGAGATAGCCTCATTTTTTCCATGGAGTGGTTGGTAGAATCAAACTACTGACCTTATGGTTAGCAGCCCTGTATGTAACCCACTGTGCCACCCTCTTTATTTCACATACGTACCAAATATACAAGGGGACTTTTGTATCCGTTCTGCACTTGTGCTACAAGTACTTGACATCCACTTCATTGCTCTTCAAGTGAACAAGAGATCTCCTAATTCTCAAAAGTGATTTATTTTCTTTTTCTTTTTTAATTT